GGATGCTTAATAAACAACATAAGATACGCTGACGACATAGTCCTGCTGAGTGAAAGTAAAGAGGGATTACAGAAAATTCTGAATCGACTGTTCAAAACTGGATTGGAGAAATTCCATATGAAAATAAATGAAAAGAAGACAAAAGTAATGAAGGTTTCAAAGAAGGAAGATATGGAGGAACTCCAGATCATTCTGGGAAATAAGGAACTTGAAAGGGTTAAAAAGTTTGAATACCTGGGAAGCTGGATAACAAGTGATAATAGATGTAAAATGGAAATTAAAAGCAGAATTAATAAAGCAAAAGCTGCCTTTTATCAGATCTATCATATATTAACAAACAGAGGCCTTAACATAAAACTGAAAATAAAAATCCTAAGGACAATGATCTGGAGTGTACTAACATACGGATGTGAGGCATGGACTCTTACGCATGAAATGATGGAAAGAATTAACTCATTTGAAATGTGGTGCTTGAGAAAGATGCAAAGAATAAGTTGGACGGAGAAAATAACAAATGAGGAAGTTTTGGACAGGCTGGGCTTGAGGAGAAGGTTGCTTATAAATATCCAACAAAGAAAGGTACGATATGCTGGACATTTGGCTAGAGGATCAGGAGGACAACTACTAAAGACGGTGATTGAGGGACTGGTGGAGGGGACAAGACCTAGAGGAAGACCCCGAAAGACTTGGAGAGATAACATCAAAGACTGGACTGGAAAGGATTTAAGAGAAGCCTGGAATAGAGAAACATGGAGAGGAATAGTTCATCAAATGCAACCCTCTGTAGAGAGGATGCCACTGGATAGATATATATATATTTTAAGATGTTATACAAATATTTTTTTTAAGATGTTATAACTAATCATATAATAAATTATAGTTTGACACAAAATTCTTAAATTTTGTATATTAACTTACTAATTAAATAGTAAATGAGTGAACTTTGAAATTTTCCAGATTGTGCATTAGATTTTCTGAAGCCTTAGATGACATTAGGGTAAGTTTTTCAAATTTACCTTATATTTAAGCTTATTATACTAATAATGTAATACTGTTATATATTAAATAATGTAGTAAAGTCCTAATATTAAATAAAAATTTACATGTCATACATGTCAAGGATTTATTCAAATATATAAATGTTGGATTGTAAAATAAGAATTTACATAATAAAATACAATATGTAGAAATAAATTAATAGAAAGTAAAAATAATGTGTTCTTTTTCTTTGAGAAAAAGAATATTTGAAATTTTTTTTATTTAAGTACAAGTGAATATAAATAAGTTTCATTACTGTTTGTATATGATATTTGGCATATTTATTTTCTATGTCAGAAAATTAACATATATTAAACACAAAAGCAGTTTATCACTTAAATAATTTTTTTAATTTTTTAAATATAAATTTTGAATATTTTCAAGTAAAAAAATTATAAAATAAAAATTTATATTGGAATTTCAAAATGCTTAAATAATCAAACTAAAAATTTTATTATATATCTAGCATATAAATGTAAACATAAAAAAAAATATATATATATATATNGGCTCAACCATGAAAGGGAGGCCAGTATTTAAACGAGGCTTAATTTTCTAATTCTGAGTGGTTGTTTGTTTTGTGAGCAATAAAATAATTTAAAAATAATTTTTAATGATACAATAGCGACGATTATTATTTTTAAAAAAGTTTTGTTAGGCTTAACATCAATGAAAATTCAACGTGAAGTAGGTTAATAGCGATATACTATACTAATAATGTATTTTTTCATACTTTTCGGTTATCCGACCAACCCCAGTTACCAATTGAGTCAGATAGTTGATGCTCTACTGTATATTCATTCATGGATGCCTGGAACACATCTCTATTTATTCCATAATAAAATGGATTTATTTTGCACCAATTTTGTTTTTGCTGCCTCCTCCTGAAATATCACTGGCATAAAATGAGGCCATCCTTTACTATATGCAGTAGAACGTCGATTATTTGAATGCCGATCAACCAAAACATTGGTTAACTGAAAGCATTTCAGTCAGACTGTGTTGTGCTGAATCAAATGTTTTTGATACTAGATTAACTTCTAAAGTATAATTTCTTTTGTTTTTATATCAATATATTTATTTTCTTTGTACAAAATAAAGAAATAATTTTTAACGATACAATAGCCAGATTATTATTATAAAAAGTTTACATTAGGCTTAACATTGACGAAAACTCAACGCGAAGCGACACGCAACAGAGAAAAATTTCAACATGGGATAGGTTAATATATTTTTTGTACAATTGGTTATCCGAAAAATAAGTTATCTGAACAATCCCAGTCCCCAATTGATTCAGATAAATGATGCTCTACTGTAATTTATAATTTTTATAAAATTTGTAGCCTTTTCTTAGAGATTACTAAGAAAATCTCTAAATCAGATTGATTTAAGATTGATTTTTGAAGTTTTATGTGACTAGTCAAATGCAATTTGCAAAATTTGCTTTAAGTTTATATAAATAAGGATGAGCTAATTTGTTGAAAGATTTTTGCCTGTAATTATTTTTAAACATTCATGAAATTATTGTCAGTTCTGATAATTGTAAGAAATGTCACTTATTACACAATACAAACTATGAAAACTTTTGTTGTTTTTTTATTCCTCTCTCTCATTTTTTAATGGTTAATAATTATGGAAACTATTTATATATAACAACAAAGACACTTTTAAGTTTGTGTGTGATAGTTCAGAGATGTGCAAACATGTATGTATGCTTGCACATCTCTGAACTATCACACACAAACATGTATGTATGCTTGTTTGCATGCATACTTAAAGTTGTTTGGCAAATTAATTCCTATTTAAGCAATGGAAAAGGCAAGTATTAATTGGCAGATTTAAACTTTCAGGAAACTGGCCTTTCAAAACTACTCCATCTAAGGAAATTTTTTGATTCTGTGGACTTCTAAATAGAATATGTTGAAAATCATTAGCTTCACTATATTTCTGGAATTTTCCATTAATATAATCTGATTTAGCTTATGAAATTATAAATAAGTTTCTAATCATTAAAATCTAAATGACTGAAATCTTAAGAACATAACTTTAAAATTAAATCATATTAATATATTGTTTTAATATAGAATCATATTAAAACAATATTAGAAGAATGCTTTTATAATTAAGTGCTCACCTATGTTTAGTGGCTAAATTCATTGTTTGGACTTATCTTTCAAAATAGTTTCATTTGTATTTAAAAACATTTTGATATATTCAATAAGTTTTATTACAATACAACAAAGTGTATAGATAAATTATAATTGTGAATTTTCAGAAATTTTGATCTACTGAATGTGTGAGGTTTGCTGACTGAATGCGTTAGTCAGGATTGTCGCGCAGTCATGACTATTGTGTGGGAGTGAAAAAAAAATGAGACAGTTCCTCATTGTTACACCGTTTAATAAAAATAAGAATTTCTTACAAAATTTTTTTGAACAACGGTGTATCACCATATAGAAAGCGAACATTAAGTCTGAATAAAGTTCAAATGTTCAAGTTTTCTTTTCCTTTCTTTCTACGGGGACAGCAAACTAATCATAGGCTCTGAGCATTTGGCACAATGTCAGGTGATTTTTCTCTGACAGACCAACAAACCTGAATGGCACTAGACGACACGGCAGAACAGGTTGTTTCCATGATGTCTGAAATGTCCCTTCCTAATTCTACAGGAGCACACTCATCCAAGATGGGAGGACTATGAACCAAGAACAGAGGACTGAGAGCATCATGTTCTTGATTCGCATAGTTTTTATAAGTTATTTTTTGGGTCTCAGACAGAACATTTTGCTAGGTTAATGCCAACTCACCCTCGTTCTTTAATTGGTCCTTGATTGGTTTTCTAATTCTTCCCACAACCTGGAATCCAATCTTGTTACATTTCATAATGAGATCGGATCCCAGGTTGCGGGAAAAGTCAATGTCATCCGTCAACTCTATCCCTATTGAAGATGTTCGATCTTAGGACTTACATTTTTCTATTGTTTTAACCTGAGACTCTCTCTTTTCTAACAATTCTATCAAACATGTCCTTATATGGACATAAAATATTAATTTTTCATTTCCCTGTTTTTTGTTGTTTGATGATTTCTTTTTACAACATTAAATTATTATTATTATTTTCTTCTATACAAAATTTAAAAAAAATTTTTGTGCATGTATTCTTGACACACTTCCAGAGTGCCACAAATGTAATCAGAGATCATGTGAAAGATATATTTAACTTACTCTTGAATGTTAGAGAATTAACTTCAGTGGATGTTTTCTTACTTATAAGGTTTGAGTGTCATGATGCAAATATTATTTCCTCTTTGATTCAGATCAAATATTTAAGAATTGTTTAAAATTCAGATTTTAAATGTAAATGATAAAAATCCAGTTATTCAATGCTGCCATGCAATTTTGTCATAAGGATTATTTAACAGTACTAATTAGAATCCTTGATTAATAATCTATAGTTTGCTTGTTACATGATATATAAATATTTGTATTGTACCAAAACGACCATAATAATCACAACTGTGTGTGTGAATGATAGCTAATTTCTTCTGATACATTCAAGTGTTTCCTCTTAAGTGACTCTACTATAAATATAGACTTTAATATAAATATGTATATAGTACTACTAATTTTATTTAAAATTTTCAAGTTTATTCTTTCAGTTAATTAACATTTATAAAAAAAAAAATAATTACAGCATGGACTTCAAGTTGTTACTTACAATGATGAAAGTACTTTGGGAGCCTATCTTGATTTGTATTCAAGATACATTGAAGCAGAACGGGTAAGACCGTACAAACTGAATTTTAGTTTTTGAAATTAATTTAGTTGTGTTGTTTATTTTATCAACTTTTATTTTAAAAATGATTAGTGTATAAATGTTACAGCATTATTTTAAAAAGAAAGAAAAACTTAATTTTACAAACATGGACCCATTTGTGATGATTTTATTTAGTTTTTATACTTGCAAAATTTAAAGATGGCTATTTTTGTCACTCTTAATTTTGGTACAGTACATGTCTTACTCTCTCCACCTAAGGTGGAAAGGGTAAGATGGAACCAAGGGATATCTGGGGAACATATTGGGCTCCTTCTGGTCAGTTCCCTCTGGTATAGGAATAATGCAATTTAGATTGTGTGTGTGCATGAATTTGACAAATTTTAGAACTTAAATTACTTTATTTACGTGAAATAAACAAAGAAAAGTGGCATTATAAGTAATCTGCACAAAATTAGTTCTACAGAAGGATAGTTTGCATAAAAGTGAATTCATAATTCTTGATAATTATAAAGTGGAACCTGTGCACAAGTAACTGAAGCTAAAGAATTATGTCTTGAATGTAATTTATTATACAGTGGTGCCTCGTATAACGGACGCTGCGAATAACGGACTTTCTGTTTGACCGTTACGTGACTCAAGCAACGGACTTGCTGCGAACAACGGACTTTCCGTTCGGCAGTTACGTGAGACGAACAATGGACTTTTTTCGAACAAGTGCGAATGATGTTTCCACTCTTTTGCAGTTGCCAATGACAATCTGCTATTTTTAGGATATATTAGTATTATTAGAATGTATTATTAGTATATCTGAAGTAGAAATGTAATGTAATATATGTTGATGATTTAAATAAACATTAAATGTAATGTAATATATGTTGATAATTTAAATAAACATTAAATGTAATGTAATATATGTTGACGATTCAAATAAACGAAATGTAATTGTGTAGATGCCGAGGTGGCGGGATGAAAAGAGGTTGTAAAAAACAAACGGAGCGAGAGTAGCTCGTAGAAGTGTTTAGTGATCTTAATTAATAAAGAATTATTCGTATCATATAATCTGGCAAGTTAAGTCATTTATAATGCATCATGGCTTCTAAAAAAAACAGAAAGGTGATTTCAATTGAAACAAAGCAAGAAATCATCAGAAGTGAAAGTTGACAAAAACTTTATTGTCGAATGGGGAGAGGTTCAGGAGTTTACCAACACTCATTATCCAAACAGAGCTGAGGCCAACAGGATCAATGATCTCTACGATGACACCTTTGTCCATCATTTCCGACAGGTGTTAAAGAAGAAAGAGAAACAGACCATCTTGGTCATGTTTTTCAAGAAGCCAGCGGGCAAAAAACAAAGGATGGAACAAGAGAAGTTGACCCTGCAAGTTTCGGTAGCCTCTTCTGAATCTGACTCCGATTAAAAAACAATAAAAAAAAACCCGCTGCAATGTGTAAAAAGTCTGTATCTGTATGAATGTGTAAAGAAAGTGTTCTTCCACCTCCTCCTCACAGCATCTGACTACCCGGCATAATTGGTGACTTTTCCATTTTCATTTTTTATGGTACAGTACGGTTATTTTATGCTGCGGAACGAATTATATGTTTTAACATGTATTTCTATGGGAAAATGCGTTTACTATAATGGACGTTTCACTTAACGGACGTGCACCTGGAACGGATTATGTACGTTGTACGAGGCACCACTGTATTTAGTTACTTGTTCAAGACCTAAGAGATTTTGGAGAGATGATTTTGATTTTCAGACATTATAAGGATTTAAAGAATTTGGCTGATCAAAAGAAAGGCTGTACTGACCAAAAAGATCCCTGAAATTGGTTTGGATTTAGTATTTGGATTTAGTATTGGAATATCTGAACAAATGGACCTTCCAAAATTCTATAAATTGAATTTATACATTTTTGAGTTTTATCAGCTGACTTGATTGACTGATGAGAAATTCTGGATGGCTGGTAACTTTCCAATTTTTTCTTCTCTTTCCCTTTACAAGTTTCATTGCAATATACTTACATTGTAAATTAGCACAGAATTTTGTTTTTCATATTCCAGAAATAAAATTTAAGCATTCAGTTGAAGTTACTATTTCTAATGAAAAATGAATGCATGGAATTCAGTTATAAATGAGAAAGATAACAAGTTGTTACTTAATGTTGGATGAGAGAAATGGCATAGAGACAAGACTATGAATGATTGAGACGACCCAATGTTAACATTAATAAATAAGAGGTTATTCTACGTCTAAGCCATCTGAAAGCAGCAGAGAAAGTGAGAGTATACAAGTATTTATATAAAAGTTGAGTTATGTCACTCTTTTGACACCTGACCAAAGTTCACATACCATTTTTTTTAGTAAGTGTAGGGTGACAAGATTTTTCACAAAACTTGCTACAAATAATAATGGCTACAAATTCCTCCTTTTTGGGGAAGTTTCATGGTTACATTTATTTTTACTTAATACAATGTTTATTTCACATTGATTCTGTCTAAACAGATTGTCAATTTAAGTGTGTTTAATGGTTTTGTCAAAAAATCTGCCACATTTCTTCTGTTTGGATGTATTTAATAACATTACCTGATTAACGTTTAGGATATTTTTCTTACATGTTTCATTTTGTAGTTAGGACTTTCGTTGTTGATTAGACTTATTGCAGCCTGATTATTGCTATAAATTGTAGTTATTTTGTTAGAACCTTTCTCTTCTAATTCATTTAGGATCATTTTTAACCATGCCGATTCTCTCATAGCCTTGGTTAATGCTATGAATTCACTTTCGCATGTCAATAATTCCTTTTGATTCTGCTTCTTGCATTTCCACAATATAAGATTCTGTCCGAGTTGGAAAAGGTATCTGCTATTCAAACGACCTACATTTCTGTTTTTCCAATTAGCATCCACTTATCCGATTAAGTTGGTGTTTTAGTCACGTTTGTATACAATTTCCTTACTTTGGGTTCCTTTTAAGTATTGTATCAGTCGTTTTGCTGCTTGGATATGTATCTCCTTCGGATTTTGTTTGTACTGTGACAGTTTGCTGATCGGCTGACACAAATCAGGTCTCGTCAAACTCATATACATCACATATCCCAAAATTTCTTGAAAAAGTTTCTTATTTCCTCATGGCGATCCTTCACTGTTGTCTAACTCTTGGTTAGGATCCATTGGTGTGTTTACTGATTTACAATCCTCCAGTTTGAATTTTCAGAGTATCTCTTTTATTTGTCTCTGTTTCATCAGTTTTATCCCATCTTTGAATTTCATTATTTTGATTCTTAAAATGCATTTAAGTTCTCCCAGGTTAACTAAGTCGAAACATTGTGAAATTTTTGCCATAGTTTCATGTTCAATTTGTTCATTTGAGGATATCGTTATCATAACGTCAACATGCAATCCCAAGTATAGAACATTTTCATCTTGTTGGTACTTAAATGTGCATGGATCTGCTTTTAATTGTTCATACCTGTTTTGGCACAGGTGATTGGTAATCATCTTAAACCATGCTCTTCCAGCCTGTTTTAAGCTATAGATAGAGAAATTAACAGTAGTTTGCATATCTTTGATTCGTCCTCCTCCTCTAATGAATCCCATTGGTTGTTCCATATATATGCATTCATTCAAATTGCTGTGTAGGTAGGCTGTTTTAATATTGTATTGGCTTATTTTCCAATTCTTTTGTCTTGCCATTACTAATAAGATTCTTAGCATTTCCAATTTCATCACAGGCGAAAATGTTTCTTTGTAATTTATTCCATATTTTTGGGAACATCCCAGGGCTACCAGTTGGGCCTTTTTCATATTTATAGATCCATCTGGATTCTTTTTGTTTTTGTATATCCATTTTGACTTTATAACATTGTTAGTTTGGTTCTCGGTCTACTAGGTCCCATACTCTGTGTCCCATCAGTGATTGATATTCATCTTTCATAGCTTTCCACCATGATTTATGTTCTCGACAAGTGATTGCTTCTTTGAAGGTAATTGATGTGAAATCTTGTGTCATATTTACAAATCTGTATCACTCCATTTGTCTGTATCAGAGAAATTTTTGTCATAGTTGGGTCCGATTTCTTGTTGTATTTGCTCTCTGATTCTTTGTGATCTTCTAGGTATTTGAATGTGGGTGTCCTCACTTTGAGTATGGTTGGGTTCTTCATTTCTGTGGGTTTTGTCATTGGATGTATCATCGTCCTTTATTCTTTCCATATCTATGGGTGTGGGATCGTTGTTGTCATCCATATCACCTAAATCTATTTCTATCCAGGAATTTGTTTGTATTTCTCTATTAGTTTCCCCGTCTAACAGTTCACTTTCCAATCGATATTCGATGAACTTAATGTCCCTGGTTTCCTCCACATTATTTGTTTTTGGATTGTATAGTCTGTAGGCTCATCTGATCCTCGAGTATCCTACAAATATAACTGGTCTTGATTTCAGCTCAAGTTTGTTCTGTTTTACCTTTGGAATCCGCACGCATGCTAGACATCCAAATACTCTTATGTGTTATGCTGAGGATTTACTTCCAGAGAATAGTTCCTTGGGGGATGCATTCTTTTCTAGTTTTGTGGGTGTGCAGTTCTTTAGGTACATCGCTGTTTGTGCGGCTTTAGCCCAAAAGATTTTTGGTAGTCGACTTTCGATGAGTAGAACCCTCATTCCTTTGAGAATTGTTCTGTTGGCCCTTTTGGTGATCCTGTTGCTTTGCGGTGAGTATGTTGTCGTTAATTGATGTTGTATTCCATGCTCCTTGCATATACGAATGAAGTCTCAGTTTATGAATTCAGTTCTGTTGTCTGTTCTGATGTGCTTTATTTTGTTGCTTGTTTTGTTTTGCATCGTTTTTATGAACAGTTCTAGCATATTAGCTGTTTCATCCTTTGATGTCAGGAAATTTGTGAATATTTTTTGGCTATAGTCGTCTATGATCATCATTATGTATCTGTTGCTGGTGAGTGATTCGACAGGCATCTGTCCTACGAAATCTATATGGATTAGTTCTAGAGGGTGTTTCATTTTATTACCCTTAGTTTCTTTGAAGGGTTTTCTAGTGTGTTTGGCTTGTATGCATATTTTGCATTGGAGCATTTTTGTCTCCTTGTAGTTGAGTCCTCTAAGCAAGTTTTGACTTTTAATTATGTCGAAATATGCTTCACTCACACATCCCAGTCTCCTATGCCATATAAATTTTTTGTTTCTTTCAAGCTCATTAGTGGTGACTTGTTTAGCGGAATTTTGTTCATCAGATCTACAATAAAAAAGCCATTTTTTTAGGTTTGTTGTTGTTGGAAATGATTTTCCCTCCTGTTTTATCAAGAATTATTGTGTAGTCATCCTCAACCAATTTGTTTACCGAGAGGAGGTGTCCATCCAGCTTTGGAACCTATAGGACTTCTTTTAATACTATGGGCATATTGTCTTCCATCACCATTCCCTTTCCATTGGCATATATGTGGTCTTTACTGGCTATTTGAATACTTTGTATATCCAGATTTGTCTTTGATCCAGTTTTTATTTGATGTCATATGTGACATAGCAGTGGAGTTGATTACACATTCTTTTTTTTTTTATCTTCATTATTATCTGATGTTTTGGTGATTGTTTGTAGTAACAATGCTCTTTTGTCTCGCGTGAACCAAGCTCTTTTCGGAGTAGACTTAGCATTGATGTATCTGGCTTTGGTTTCTCTCTTCTATATTTTGTTCCAATGTCACGTGTGTGATTGCGATATCGATCGGTCTTCTGTTTGTATTTCTGTGAATTTTCTGCATTATACCAGCATACTGAGGATTTGTCTGAATTTTCCACAAGTGAAACATTTTTTCTCTTATGTATTTGCCCTTTTGGGATCTTGAATGAAAAGCTGAATTGCATTCATTGTATCACGAGGTGCTTGCTCTGTCTTCATCTTTTTAGATGTATTCTAGGTCATTCATTGTCACATCCTTTATGCTTTCAAGTTTTTGGACGATATCATGATATTTAGGGAGCAGTCTGTCAGTTATTAAACTTATCAATTCTGTTTCTTCCATTCCTAAATTTACCATTTTGGCTTCTTCATTTAGTTTGCCAGCCCTTCTGATATATTCTTTCCAGTTTTTGTCCCCCTCCATTTTTAATTTTGAGAGCTATGATCGACACATTTTTTTGCTTCGTGTCTAATTGATCTTCATATCTTCATTCTAGGTCTTCCCAAACATCGTGTGCAATTGTTTAGATTTAAAATTAGACTAACCTCGTGTTCTTCCATTGTGCATGTGATGATTCTAAGAGCTTTGCTGTTTTTCTTTCTCCATGTGTCATAGGCTGCCTTGTCTTCAGGAGTGGCTGTTTCTCCAGGAATTTCTGGTCTGGGTCTTTCAAGTATGTGCATCAGATCTTGACTGTCTAACAGATTCCTTATTATATATTTCCATATTAGGTAGTTCGATCCATTTAACTTGGGTATTGAGCTCAGTCCTTTAGCTCAGTGTTTTTCAACCTTCTTGAATATGCGACCCCTTTACAAGTTAAAAAATTCTACCGACCCCCCAGGGCCATATTTAAACTATATCGGTGATTTTAAAAACTACATATTTAATTTTCTTTCTTTAAATATCGATAAAAAAATCAATTGTACTGTAAAATAAACAGGCACAGCCTTCTCACAGAAATTCTAGTTTTTTTTTTTTTTTTGTAGTGTAGGACCTACAAACACTTGTCTTTTTCTTTCACCTGTGACCCCCTGTGTAAGGCTTCGCAACCCCCTGGGGGTCGCGACCCACAGGTTGAAAAACACTGCTTTAGCTATCTTGGCCATCCTTCTTTTGTTCTCTCAGTATTTTTTTTCAGGAACCTTATTAGAAAATTTATGAGATCACTTGGGTGACTTATTCTTTAAACGTTTTCTGCATTTTCTGGGTCCATAACCAATTGTTGGATGAGAGAGATGGCATAGAGACAAGACTATGAATGATTGAGACGACCCAATGTTAACATTAATAAATAAGAGTTTATTCTACATCTAAGCCATCCTAGAGCAGCAGAGAAAGTGAGAGTATACAAGCGTTTATATAAAAGTTGTGAGTTATGTCACCATTTTGACACCTGACCAAAGTTCACATACCATTTTTTTTAGTAAGTGTAGGGTGACAAGAATTCCACAAACTTGCTACAAATAATATTGGCTACATTTAAACTTGCTAAGTTAGCTTAAACTTCACTTTAACATCAGAGATTGATGGTATGACTCCCATATATGATTTTAATTTTTCTAACAATTACATTTTTTTATATCAACAGGATATGCTGTTTAGAAGAACTTGTCTTTTGGTCGAATATGAGAATTCCAATAAACTTTTAGATAAGTCTAAGCCTAATAAAAGGGAGATGGTAAGTTCTATTGTTTTAAAATTGCTAAATTTATGCAATAATTATTTTTAGAATTTAAAAAATAATTATGATAAATAATGTTCTTTAGGCAGAACAAACAAAATTAGCTGCTGAAAAAGCATTTGAAGAATGCTCTGATGTAGCAAGACAAGAAGTAAGTGTTTTAACATTTTATTTGTAATATTTTAAAAATATTTTGAAATCTGTATTTTTATTTATGTTGATTTATTACCCCACTTCTGGAAACCTGTTAACAAGATTTCCTATGCTATCACTATGTATTTATTTATATACATGGTATATTAATGTCATTATCTAGTTGCAAAGTTTCACTCATTACACACACATAAACATCTCTAAATGTGACATTACAGCAATTATTTGGCAAAATAGTCTGATTAATTATTAATCAGGCTATTTTTCTGCTACTATTAACAATTAAATTCTAAGTAATTTTGTACTGGAGATAGGTGTTAGGTGCCATTTCTTATTAAATTTAATAATTATAATTAAATTAATATTTATGAAATACAGTAGAGCATCGATTATCCGAAAGTCAATCATCCAAAACGTCAATTATCCGAAAGCATTCCAGTTGGCAAATTTAAATTTTTGCTAGTGCTGTGGCGCTGCAATCTTTGGCTATGTCTTGGGCTACTCAAATATTTTACGTTTTTGATACTAAATTAACTTCTGAAGTATAATTTTTTATTGTTTTTATATATTTTATTGTTTGTACAAAATTTTTAACGATACAATAGTCTTCGTTAGGCTTAACATCGATGAAAATTAAACGCGAAGTGACATGCAACAGAGAAAAATATCAACATTGGATACGTTAAACTATTTTTTCGTACATAATCGGTTATCCGAAATATCAGTTATCCGAACAACCCCAGTCCCCAATTGATTCGGATAATCGACGCTCTACTGTAATTTAGAGTATTCTGGAAGAAAAAAATTGGCCCAGAGTACGACTTGAACCCACAACTCCCACTTACCATACGGATGAATTAGTTATGCTACCCAGACTGCCTTGCAACTCTTTGCTTCCAGACACAACTAATTTTAGATATAATCATATATTATATATGTATGCATATATACAGTATATACACCATGCTCAGGTAAAGCATTAGTTGGCTGAGTGCCATAGTGGGTGATTATAGGATATGGGTGTAGAGTCATCCCCAGTCGGCATAATGAATAACCATGGATAGTTATATCTAAGGCTCGGATTTTTAAGACCTAAAAAATGGCAAAATGAGCAGGTATTAAAGCCCTAAAAACTTGAAAATATGGTGTAAAAAAAAGACCTAAAGTTTTCAGAAGATAAGCATTAACTGAGGTTAATTCAGATTTCTTTTAATCTCATTATTTTAATAATAAACTTTCATACATGACATTGTTAGATTTCATATCATCATCAGGGGTGCATAATTGTAAAGGCTGATGTCACTGCTTAAGACCCCAGATTCATCCTCTTTGGATGTAGTTATTACTCCATTAAAAATGACTTCAATTTTCTTCATTGTTTTAAACTCTGATCTGTGCTACTGAGCCATTGGCTTAATGTAGCCTGCCTGGATGTCAGCTATAATCTTGGGAGTTGGCACAGTTGAGTCTTTGCAGTTTCCAACTGTGTAATTGCAGCTAGCAGTCTTCCAAACTGAGATTTAAGATTCACTTTTCTAAAAAGTTGTATAGTTAATTAATCCTTCTCACATAGTTGAGTTATCTCTCTTAACGTATACAATTGATTGGTTTGATTTTATTAGATTACAGCAATGCAATATGTGGGTGATCTGCTGAGAGGGAATGGCTCTCAGGAGGTCTTTTATGGAAAGCTGGCCCCTATTTAAATGTTACTAATATCTAAGCCATGTGGCTAGTCTGATGGTGAGGTGCAAACCCACAACCAACTACCATTGTTTAATGGTTTTAGCCATTCTTTCACCGGTGGGTGTATATAAATGAAGGTACACAAAATTTTAAAAAAATTATTAGCCTTTACCGAGGGTAGAAGTGAAGGTTCTGTCTTTGTGTGTTTCCCTTTTGAAAACCTGTAACAAAACTTTATTGTTTTAAGCTCCTAGGGTGAAGACAACCTCTAGTATCATGGCATGACAATGTTGAACAAAATAAAAAAAATTTTTTTAACATGATGGAAAAAGGATATAAAATTCCCAAAAACATACAAAAAATAAAAGACGTACCATATTTTGGTTTAAAAAGACCTATCCCAAAATTTCAGCCAAAATATGACTTTATAAGACTTATAAAAACCTTTCATTTATAGAATAAGTAAATGTCTTTTCAATCCGAAAAAAGAAATCCTTCGGTAGACTGTCTCACAGCTAATTTGGTACCAAAGGATTTCTTATCTACAGCTGTGAGACAGTCTACCTGCCAAAGGATTTCTTTTTCGGATTGAAGAGACATTTACTTATTTAACAAATCATACAGCAACCATTAGAAAATTCAATTTTCATTTATACTCCAAAGGACCTGAAACATGTCTTTGTGAAGTCAGAAGTTCAATCAGACTCATAGCAAAATAATAACTTTTTCTTGAAATCTGAGGCCTAGTTATAGCTAAACATAAATATGTCTGGAAACAGAGAGTTACATGGAGTAGGAGTAAGCAGGAGTTGTGGGTTTGAGTCCTGCTCCAGGCTGATTCTTTTCTTCCAAAATATTCTAAATTATTTAATAAATATTAATGTAATTATAATTATTAAATTTAATAAGAGCACCTAACACCAAATTACTACACTCTACTACCAAATTACTTAGAATTGAATTATTAATAGTAGTGGAAAAATAGCCCAATTAATTATGGCAATCATTTGGCTTCGATTTACTCATTATAGCATTTTTATTACATATACTGGGCACTTTTTAACTTTCTCTACCTTATGAGTACTAAGACATCTTTCTTCCATGCCTGTCATGGGTTCAAACTGGCCCATAGTAGGAGTAACTGGGTGGTGAGGGATAAAATTTGATACATCTGGGACAAACTATGAAAAGTTCCCAAAATTCCCAGCTGGACTTGAATCCAGGGAGTAGCAGACTTACATCTTTATTGTTTTGTTAATCCAATTATTGGGTGCTTAAGCTGTGCACATAGTTTTTGTTAATTTATGTAGAGTTTCAGATTATACAGTTTAAACCATGGAAATTGCATCACCCATAAAATTCTATAACCTTGTGTTTATTGTTTAAATTTTAAGTATTATTTTACTGTAGATCTGTAAGAAACTGTAAAGATTGCAACATCATAAACATGAAAACACTTTCAACAAAGTCTATTATGTTTCTGGTGATTGCAATCATTGTCCATTAGTATAAAAGCACATCACCTTCACATAGGTTTTAAAACCTGCAAGAAGATGGTGTGCCTTTATAAACAAAATGGAGAGTTTTTTTTTTTTTAACAGTTAACACTGGTTTAAAAGTAGGTAACTGTTGCTTTGAATGATGATTTTTGTGCATTGTTATCAATCAACAACTGTTTGTATAAAGGAGATGTGAATATGGCGACAGTGAAAGAAAAGCTGGATCAAGAGGTAGATATATGTGAGAGTGCTTTGCCAGGATAAGTTGCTGAAACTTCTCAAACTGCAAAAAACATACTGCTAGTTCTTCCAAACTAAAAATAGTGGGAAGATCAGACAGACCTAAAAACAAGTGCACAAACTGTGTAACATGAGTTTAAAAGCTTGCTCTCCATATAAGAAAGCATTATGACAATTAAAATTTGCAGACAGTAGCTTATCTGGGCGAAACAGCATGTGGGCAGAAGTATTGACATGTGGGATATGTTTTTCAGATGAATCTAAATTTAACCTCCATGAATCTGACAGCAAATCCTGTTTTAAGCATAAAAAAGATTGCGTAATGTAGACAATAAATTTTCTAATGAGTCAAATGGTGTGGGGATGTATATTTAAGGCATTGTAAAACTACACTTTATAAAAGGGCCTGAAAATGCAGTGTTCTATAAAAACGTCTTATCTGCCAAGCCAATCTAACAATCAAGGAACAGTTTTGTGATACAAAATCCTTCATCTTCCAGGATGACACTGCACCATGTCACCTTGTCAAGATGGTGAATAAAGTATAAAAATGTATCCTTTCTCTACAGTTAGCATTATTCTCACTTAAACTGACACACATTGTTATTTAGTACAAAAAAAATTTCCTACAAGTGGCTCTAGATCAGATGTTAAGTTGGCCAGATAACAGTCCTCATTTAAGCTCTATTAAGAATTGGACACATTAAGAGCATAAAAATTGCAGAGGAAAGACCTGAAAATAAAAAACAACTGTGTGAGTTTATTAGAAGAGTTTGATATAGAGTATACTCAACCACTGCATACCAGAGCACTAGAGCTTTGCAGTGCTCTGGTAGAGTATACCAGAGCACTGCAAAGCCTCAAATTATGACTTATGTTTTCTGAAGTATTACTTTATAACTACTGTTCAGTAACTGTTCGTGCCTAATTATGCTGTAAATCTTTTTTCGCTTTTATAACTGTGAATGGGAAGTTCTTGCAACAGTGCTCATTGACAATATTAGTGAAGTATAGTATGAAATACTCAATATAACATTGTATGTAATAAATTGCATTGTTTGTTTATTGATATTTTCTCTGTACTACATAAGTCATCGTTACAAATCACAATCATTGTTTAAATATGCTAATATGCTACTTTGCACCTCTATTGGATGCCTTTTACTTTCCAATTGCCATATAATATGGCAATTGGTCAAGAAATGGCCCCTAAGATTTTTACATTTTTGGACTTGGCCATTGAAATGTTGAGAAATGCAAAAAAATTTGCGGTTTTCATGTATGTATGGAGTGTGATAGGGCACGATTTTGTTAACCTTCTTCAAAAGACTCCTGTGCTTTTTGTCAAAAATTTCTGAAATTTTGCAGGGAGGTTAGGGAATTGTGTGTATTTAGATGAATTGATCTCAAGTAGGGTCAGACTTAATGATGATTTTACTCATTATTGGGCTGCAATTTGAAAAAATTGTACTATACATCTATAAATTTCCACTGTCTTTCCTTAATCTTGAGAACTGAGTTAGATACATGATAGACAAGACCAGATATGGAAAGCTAAGGGTATGAGGCCTCAGTTAACTATATATGAATTTCTGATGCAAACTGGAAGTCACATTATTTCAATTCAAAACTTTTCCCCTGAAAGGAGTTAGATAGATGACTGGTATGACTACATTGATAACAGAAAAGTATGATGTACAGGACTGTACTAATTTGAGGTGGGGAACATATATTTTAAATGAAATAAATTAAAAATACGATTAAAAATTGCAGCTTGGCATTGTGGTGATGTCACAAAAAATAATTGCTGATTAGCATTTACAATTTTAATTAAGCTTTTTGTCATTTTATAATAATTAAAAATTTAACATTTTTAATAAAATATTATAACACCATTTTATATTATTATGGCACCAAAATTTTGAATGTTGCCAACTTAACGAAAGTTAAACAACTTGTTGCTAGATTTTGTTACATATTGTAGATGATGCAAGTTTTGTGAAGTTATATATAATTTAGGAACATATATTTCCCCAATAAATGCTAAGTTCTTGATTGTTATTGGCTTCCAATAAATGCCAGCTCTAAGCAGGAAATTGCCTTGTAATGTTGGTCTCTTTACTTGCTAAATGAAATATACAGTATTATAGAAATATATATATGGTATATATAATCCTGTATATAAATATTAAGATAAGAGCTTTTTTAAAATGGTAATTTATTATTTTTAGATTAAAAAGTTTCACCGTCAGAGGGTGCTGTCATTCCAAGAGAGTCTAGAGAAATTTGCTGATACACAGTTGAAATCTGCAAGAGACATGTGTGCCATCGTGGCCAAATCCATAACTAAACTCAAGCAATTTGAAATTGCAGTTTCACCAAAAAACGAAGAGTGACAAATTCACATCAACTGTACAAATAAAAGTATGTATTTTATTTAATGTACTAAAAAAATTCTAAATATTTTACAATAATTAATGTGTACACTTTTAATATAGAAAGAGAATATCAAAGCAAAGAACAACATGCATTGATTGCATTTTGGATAAAAGTCGATAAATTTTGATCAAGTTCCACATAATTCGAAAGCAATCTCCAAAGATTTATACTCATATTTCTAAACGATTTTATAATTAAAAACAAAAATATTTGTAAATTTAAAAAAAAAAAATTGACTCAGTGGTTGGGAGGGACGTCCTAGTCAAATTGGAAGCCCAGGGAAAAAATATCACAAGGGAATTTTTAGCTGCTTCGATTGTTTTTGTGATCACAAAATTTTGATTATTTTCAAATTATTTAGAATTTATTGAAATATTTTATAAATTTGTTATGTATACAATATATATATATATATATATACATTGTTTTTGATTATGGAAGTACATGAAAAACAAAATATTAAGTTGTAAAGAATTATTGTAAAGTCAAGCTTCTATCGAGCACTAATATAGTGGACCAATATTGTAATTAGCAATAAAAAAATTTTGAAAAATCTTTGGTGACAAGTTCTTTACATTTTCATGAAAAATTCTTATCAAACAGCAGTAGTCTCCCCAAAATGTTTTCATTTGGAACGATATTCAATGATGGTGAGTCATTGAATTACTCAACTTTTTAAAGATGAAATTCTGCTATTCATATCTAAATTCTAGAATAAATTAAGCTAAATATTTATTTTAGAAAAGTATCAATTAAATGTTAATTTTTAAGTATTACACGATGAAAAGTACAATAAATGAGAGCTTGTGTGATGAAAATTTTTCCACTAGTTGAAACTCAGCACTCAACAAAAAATTTTTTCTACTCTCGCTTGCATGCATTTGGTTTCATATTGTATAATCAAAATCATGCAATGCAAAACCAAAACACGTAATCAATTAGGTACAATTTCCATTTATGTAAGTAATTTATTATCGTAAATATAGACCTTTTTTTTTATTTTTCAATAAATGATTATAGGTTAAATATACATCATTGTATATAATTATACATAAAGAAAATTTACATTAATTTTATTAGTACACAATTTAAAACTTAAACTACTCTATTGTATTTATAAAATTAAGATGACATAAATTTTAAATTTTCCACTTTTTTTTGTATGAGACAATTTGGGTTTTTCTCCTTTCTTTTTTCTTTTTCTGACTATTAGACATGGAACATACTAAGATAGGTTTATCCAGTTTTACCCTTTGCATACCTGGTAATTCATTGGTTTGGCAGAGATGTTAAACCTCTTCCTCGACCTCTAGCTCTTCTATTATGATTAGGGGGTTCCACTTGGGGTCTCTGAAAGTTCTGGATTATTCTGTTCATTTGGAGCTCTCTTAAATCATTCTCCAGCTTACTTATTGTAGTGGCATTTATCAGGTCAATTTCTTCTTGTATCTCATTAGGAACCAGAATTCCCACTGGTAAAACAATTATTTCCAGTTTTTGATAGGGCCTTCCAGATTGGAACTTCCCTATTACATTTCTAATCAGTTCTTGGTCAATCATTGCAGTTTTTGCTCTTGCCAATGTTGTTGAGATATGTGCTTCAAACATTTGCTTGTAGCTCCTATTTATGTGGGATTCTTTGGCCATCTTGTCCTGCAGAGAGAGAACAGAATAAGGATGAGCAAAAAAGTTGGAGCTACTAATTTTACATTTTGCAAATGTAAAATTTTGAGCTGGCTTTAGAGAATTTATAGAAAGAAAACTAACTATTATTTTTTTTTTCTGTGTGCACTTATTTCATCTGGTCTTCTGATTGGGGAGATGAATTGGTCTCCCCTTGTCTCACACAGTTAATCTTTGCTGTTAAGGAGAGGATTTGGTTCTCTAGAAAATGGTTTATCATTTCTGATGAGAGCATCAGACAATCCCCATTTTGAATTATGGCTGAGATGTCATCCATGATACTGTGAGGAACTGACTCCCAAGTCACTGTTTTACCTCTCCCTGAGATTTCAATAAGTCCTTTAAAGTGTGCTGCTTCTTTTTCGTTTCCAATGAACCGGATAATGGCATATAAGAAATAAAGATCATCATCTGATGCTGTCTTAACTATTTGTACAATGAAGTCATGGTGATAACAAGTAAGGTGTGTGGTCCATCTTAAAGTCTGCGACAATTCTAATCCAATGATAATCATGTTGATGGTATGATAGTTTAATTTTATCATAGTTGTGTGTTTCTCTGCAACATGGGGAAGAATTTGGGGATAGGTTCCCTCCCAATAACATGAGGTGTCAAGTGAGGGACATGAGCAAGTTTTGTATTTGCAATTTTTCTCATGTATCCTCCTGTCCTTGAGAATATGTCTCTCCTGGCATCCATTTTCTGCAAACCGGCAAGGGAGTGAGATGGCCTCTGCTAACTTTTCTAAGGTAGCATTCTGATAATCTCCTAATATTCTTCGACAAGTGGGGCATCGACGGACCCATTTCCAACAGTTGGAACATACCAAATGTCCCTCTGTACATTGATGTATAGGTGGACTCATGTAATCATGACAAATTGGGCATTTCAACAAAGCTACCAATGCCAAATCTGATTGTATATTACTAGGATCCATTCTAGTTGTCCTGCGTGTTCCATGTGAAGTGGTTGGTTGCTGTTTTTCCATCTTTTTTCTTTTCTAAACAAGAAGAAAAAAACAAGAGTTAGAGTGAAATGACTGTAATCTACAAATCTGGGTTGGTAATGATTCCAATCCACTGGAGAGGTGATAATTCTTCTCATATAGTCAGTACTATTACTTTCCCAAGAGTTTCCACCCTTATTGATGAGTTTGATCTGTTATTAGGTGGAACCAGTTAGAAGTGGCCCCAAACTAATCAGTTTCCTCTGGGTTTAGAGGAAGTGTTCTTATTCCCTATTCTGCAGCCTATTATTCAATAAATTTGCCTTCTTCATCTCAAGATATTCAGGAGTGATACAATTACCACTGCATTGGAGATGATGAAAGTCACATTCCATCCTTGACAAAGGGTGATTATAAGAATCTCGAGAACTTAAGAATGTAGTTAGTTTAACAATTTCTGTCTCTGGATATATTGTGAAGTGCTCATACTACGAATTCCAGAGACTAGAAAATAATTCTCAACAATATATTCATGAAAGATTTTTGTTTTTCTTATATTTTGGTATATTGGGTTCAGTAACTGTTGCATGGATACATAGGATCTTTCCTATATAATAAGAAAAATTGGATTTTGTTAGTACTGTAATGGACCATAGTTGTTGTAAATGAAGAGAGCAAAGAAGACCATTTTATCCCAATGTTGCTGGTCCCTAACATAATGTGTTGAAACATCAATGTTTTGTTGAGATGTTTCATCATTCCATTGCCCAGTGGGCAATAGAAGTCTCTGTGTAGTAGTATTTTGCATATCTCTCTCATCATTTTTGATGTGAAATTAGTATCTCTGTAAGTAGTTGCTTAGTTGATAAATGCTTTCACAACTATTTTGGTGGCTATATCAGGTAAAGCAACTGCCTCTGCCCATCAGAAAGTGATCTGCAAATGCAAGATGATACAGTATTTGTTTCATTTTGCCTTAAGAAAGGTCCTTGTATATCTAACACCAGCTAATTGCTTGGACTTTCTAATGGTTGATTTACATCACTATAATGTTTCATAAATCTCCCAAGCTATTTTGTCCTTTCAAATTAGCACGTAAATTTTTTTCTATATTGATCTCAAACTATTTCTCAATTGTTCTAGCTCATTTCTAGAACTGGGTAAGGCACAACTGCAGGAAAAGGCACTTGATCTAAATTTTTGTTATTTCTAGGCTCTAATTGAATAAAATTCAGTTGATAAAAATGTGTTGAATTTTTATAATAATTTGATGTGGCTAGGATATGATTGGAACTTGCATTCAGAAGTGTTGTATCACAATTGCCACACCATCTGAGTGAGGAGGGAATTTTATCCCTTGCCATTCAGGTAGTGGTTGCACATACTTTTGTTTGGGTCAATTGGATATATGGTTGGAAAAAAATTATTGCTCCCTGACCTAAAGAAAAAAGGGTTCTGTCCTCAATACTATCCATAATACATTTGCACATGCTGATTTGTAAATTGAGGTCTGATTTTTAAAAGATGATATTTAGGAATAACCTGCAGAAGAATTAAAAGATTAGTACTGCAATTTTGGAAAAGTTTGGACATTATTTGAACCATTATTCATAATGAAAATATCACAGAAACTGGAGGAAATTGACAAAGTAAAAGTCACATCTTATGTAAATTCCAGCAAGAAGTTTTAATAAAGCAAAAACATTTTCAACCTAAGTTAATAGGTCTCATCAATTGTCAAACTATCAAACAAAACTTCAAATAAAAAAAATGAACTTTAAAACACAAAATTTAAATTCAATGGAAATTAAATGTAAAGATAATAAACATGAAATAAATGCATAGTAGTATTAATATAATACTCTGACCAACTTGGAATTCATAAACAGACCTCTTTGTGGTGAACAAAGTGTCTCATGGAGGTTTATCTAAAAATCATGATTTGCAACTATTTCTTGAAAAGGTCAATGACAATCCTTAAAAGAGCAAAACATCAGTCCATTTCTTGGACTTTTCCATCACTTGCAATACTGGTGAGCTCTGTACCAATGCATATCATAAACCCATGTATCAACTGATTTTCATCACAACTCACTGGACCGCCATCATTTAAAGCTCTTAGCATTCGGGTTGTTAACGAGAGCTAATATCCTAGACCAAGGGTGTCCAACCTTTTTGTTTCTCTGGGCCACATTGGAAGAAGTCATGGAGTTCTGGGCCACAAATATATTGTGGCCCAATCCTTAAATATACAATTATATTTAAGTATTTGTGTCTAGATTATAGTAATAAGTATTAAAACTTCACGAAAAAGGATATTTCTAAAAATTACTTCTACAGACTCTCTTAATTTCTACTTAGAAATAGATAAATTTGTTTTATTTGGGTCTTTAATTAATTAATAAAAAGACAACAAAACACCATTTTAAAGTGCATTTTTATTCAACTAACATATTTATAAATATGTAGCCCAAAATGTAGCCAATGCGCCAAATGATATTTTTTATGCCAAACTAAAAAAAAGGGTGGCCAAATCTTGCAATGCTGAAAGGAATATTAAATAAAGCAAGGGTTGGGATTCAAAGGATTATAGACCCAAATTCAAGGAATGGAGAGAAAGGTTAAATAGACCTGTGATACAAATATTGATCCTTAATTTTCCAACCTTTCTCACTTCTTTTTATCTTTTGGCCTTTTTCTTTCCCTGAATTTGGTGCTATAATTCTTTGAATCCCAACCCTAGCTTTCTTTAGTATTTTTTCCTCATTCACACATTTCAAGTTTTTGAAAATATTTCCTTTCTATTAAAAAATAAGATATGTATGAAGATTTAAGGCTTTGTGAAACTTCTTTTTTTGAGGTTTATGCCGTTGAAATAAATAAATTGTCGGTTTTGTTTACACGTTTATTGGGCAGCATTGGAACTTGCCTTGGGCCACATGCGGGCCACGGGTTGGACACCCCTGGCCTAGACACTATCAATAAACTCAATCATAAAGGTGGTGAACGGGAATTGATGCAACAATTGATCACCACCACCTTTCAGACACCTAAAGAAAAATAGACAGAGCTTGCCTTAAGGAAAATACACATGGAGGTGGATAAATCTAACTTAAACCTGGTATATAAATGTAACCTTACCATTTTCAAGATTTTAGGAAACAATCTGTTGTTGTTATGCTAATTCTTTGGGATTTATTCCACACTGATGAAGGTCTTTCATCGGTGTGGCATATGCAGGACTACCAGACGCAACCTACAGCAAAGAATTAAAGAGCAGAAGTACACCATTGAAAAGAAACTGTACAATAAAGTCTTAGCAGCTGAAGCTAACCAGTAAGATGTACCGATACAGTGCAAGTTAATTGGAATAAGATCAGACCAACTAAAGACATAGTGTTGCCCCTTTTCAAAATCGCTGATCCGGACGGCAAGTCAGAGCCATGTTCAGTAACGCAGAATTCTTGCTAAGTCTAGTTGTGCTGCGATGTTGAATTTGTTTCTAACTACTGCTCGACTCCTCCCAACACTAGAATTCTACTGTTTGTCCCGTCGTACGATTTGCAAGATGGCTGCTCGTGTTGGACTAAACGTATTTTATTATAAGAATCACAAAGTTATTCTCTCATTCTAAAATGACTTTGAAATGTAAAATTATCATACTCCGGTATAATCGTCTTCTGCGACGGAGTGCAAGTGTATGAAGTCAGTCAGACTGAATGAGGAAGCGTCCGTGTTCCAGGCGGAACTGGTGGCCCTGGAGGGGGCGTCCCAGTGGACCCTATCACACCCGGGTCACGGCTATCAGAGCCGGTCACGGTTTACTCTGATTGCCAGTCGTCGCTACAGGCTTTGAACGACGGGTACCATCGCGATTCGCTGGTAGCACGGTTATCAGAGGGGGGTGTCCCAGTGGACCCTATCACACCCGGGTCACTGGCTATCAGAGCCGGTCACGGTTTACTCTGATAGCCATCGCGATTCGCTGGTACATGAGATCAGAAGCATGGTGCTGAGGGCGAGGCACAAGCGACACGTTGCCCTGCGATGGGTCCGAGGCCACATCAGGATTCCGGGCAACGAACGTGCTGATCAGCTGGCAAAGGTGGGAGCTAGTGGCTCATTTGTAACGAGGACGGTGGAACCCTCGACTGCTTACATTAAAGGCACCTTGCTGAAACGATCAATGACCAATTGGCAAGAGCGCTGGAATCAAAATACAAGTACAAATCAACCTACGCCTTCGTGTCTGTAATTGGCCTCACTCCGGTATGTTGCAATTGGCTCACGACCCAGATACTGACCAGCCACGGAAGGTTTCCCCACTTCAAGTCCATATTCGAACAAGGAGATGGTAGCTGCTCCTGTGGGTGTCCTCGCGGCGACGCGAGACACTATGTACTTGACTGTCCTCTTACCGAGGATTTCCGCCGAGGGGCCGATCAAGTCGACTGGTCTAGGCTGCCTGAACAAGTACTTCGAACGCTAGCAGCTAGTAAAGGAAACTAAAGGAATTGATGGAACGGATCATAAACTTATAATCTATCTGCCTAGTGGACGCGCTAGGCTGGGCTCCCTCTTCTTGTAGAGAAGGGGACCCCGCTGTCCGTTACTCTATGTGAGCAAGTTTTATTGCATGTATGTGAGCTGGAAAAGGTTTAGTTTGTGGACCAAAAGTGCAGAACAGGCTGCACAATACAAAAGTTATGCCAAGTTAGTGAGCTGGGCCGGGGTACGGACGGGAGCCCGAAAGATGTATCATAGGGCCCAGCTATGTCGTTTCTATCTACCGTGTCAGGTACAGACCAAGTCGATGAACAAGGCATAGTCTCTAACCCTGTAGTGCCATTTGGCGGAGCAGAGGAAGAGTTCCCTTATGAGACACCAGTATAACAGATTCCGAATACATTTTAACGGAAGATAGCGGTCCATTTCTTTAATTACAGTTAATAATTGCTTTATTAATTTCATAACAATCTAAATTTCATCACAATTCCATTTTGAATAATTTATTAGCTTCATCCTTTTCGACCAGTTCGTTTGTGACAATTGTT